GGTCCCGTGGGGGTTCAGGGGCTGGCAGGAGGGTGGGTTGAAGGGGCTGGGTCCTTGTGTCGTGGGCAGCTCCGTCTCGGAGTCCCAGCTCCTTCGTGAGCAGAGCCATGCGGGGAGCCGGGGCTCTGAGCAGCTCTGCACCTGCAGGGGCTCGGCGGGATACGTGGCCCGGGCTCTGCTGGAAGATGGGACCTTCGAGGTTCGCGCGGCGACGGAGAGCCCCACGAAGAAGGAGGCCGAGGAGCTGAAGCCGAGGATCAGGACGATGAGCCATCGCTGGAGGTGGCCGTGGCGGGTGCTTACGGAGCCCTTGTTGTAACCAACGTCTGGGAGCACTGCAGCAAAGAGGAAGAAATCGCGCAGGTACTGGCGCTTGCTTTAACTGGGATCGCGTACGGAATGGACTGGGAGGAGGGGATCGAGGGACAGCCGTGTGGCATCGGGGTGGGGGTCATGGGACAGCTCTCGGTGCAGCCTTGCCAGCCCTGATGGTTCAAGCGGCCAGCCCAGGGAAGTCCCAAGGCCTCGCAAACAAACCGGGTCCCAGTTCTTGCAAAACCAGAGCTTGTTCCCTGTTCCCTCGCAGTCAGGTGGCTCCAGGATCTGGTGCCTTCAGGGAGCAGTTAAATGCCTCGAGTCTTGGCATGGCGGACAGCACTGCCTGGGAGGCAGAGTAACTGGAGCGGGAAGACTCAGCTCGGCAGAGCACTGTCACTGCCTGCAGTCCTGTAGTTCTCTGCACTTGCAGCTTTGGGGCCAAAATGTGCTGCGGTATCAGAAATCCCAGGGCCTTCCCTGAGGGCAGTGTTCGCCCTAGGACAGATTTCACACGGTGGCACGATTGCCCTGCCTGGAGGGCAGCAAACAAAAGATATGTTAGGGCAGGTATGTTGGCCCTGGCAGATCTTTAGGGCTGGTGTTTGTGTTCTTGGTGGAGGAGCTAGCACCAAAGCTGGAGGGTGTGTGGGCTTTCTAATGTAGGCTGGTGTAAGCAGAGGACTCAGCTCCACCTGGGCAACTCGCAGGGCTCGCTGGGTCCACTCAGCCCTGGTTCCAGCTGAGGGCTCGGGGTGCCAGATGCTGAGGAGCTTCCTCAGCTGGCGTGTGTTGGATCCTGCCCAGCGCAACAGAGGGGAAAGGGGTTGTGTGGGGATGACGAGAGCCCCCGCATGTCCCAAGGGAGCCATTCCCCTCTTGGTGGCTGGCTTCACCCAGGGAAAGCGGCTTGCTGACCTGCCAAAGCGCCTCGGTCTGCACCATATCGTGTATAGCAGCCTGGAGAACGTGAAGCAGCTGATGGGGGGCCGGCTGGAGGTGTTCCACTTCGATGGCAAAGGCGCGGTGGAGGAGTACTTCCAGGAAGTTGGTGTTCCCACCATGACCATCTGATTGCCGTTCTACTTCAAGAACTTCCTCTCCATCTTCAAGCCGCAGAAGGTCCCGCAGGGAGATACCTTTGTCCAGGGTAAGACAGGACCTCTCGCTCTCCAGGTCACCATCCTGTAGTTCTCACCTCCTCCACTGTGCAGAGGCTCACTAAGGGGTGGTGAAACCCCTCAGCCTGATGGGGAAACCACCAGGGCTGCAGACAGATGGGGAAATGGGGCCTGTGCCAGCTTGACCACAGCAAGCTGCAGCTGCATTCTGGTCCTTCAAACCTGGTTGGTGGCCTGCAAGAAATAAGTGAGATCCCAGTCCTGTTTCTGGTGCTGAGGGCTGCTCTGCAGATCCCAGAGTGTCTCTGGACACCCCAGCTCCCTGCAGTTGGGATGTCGGAGGTGGGGCTGCAGATCCAGGCGAGTCACGGTGCTGCTCTGGGCACTCATGGTCTCTTAGCTGAGCCCTACAGGTGCTTTTGTGGCTTGCCATGCTGATGTGCGGCTCTCAGCTCTTCGTCACCTCGTGTTCGGAGGCTGGGTGCCAAAAACTCCATCCATACCTCCTCCCAGCTGGGCTGCACTCTGACCAGGGTCAATCTCTCCCGTACAGCGCTGCCCGCGGGGGTCACCCCCATGGACGGATGGCGGTGGAGGACGTTGGGCCTGTTGTGCTTTGCTTGCTGAAGTTCCCGGAGGAGTGCATAAGCCAAGTGATCGAGCTCAGCACCGGCAAGCTCACCGAGGCAGAGTACGCCGCTGTCCTCTCCCAGCAGACGGGCAAGACCGTGGAAGCCAGCAAGGTAGAGAGTGTCACCGATGAGTGCTGTCCTGCCCCAGCAGCAAGGTCAGGAGCTGCCAGGGTGGAGGGCCCTCGTAGCTCGGTGTACGGCTTTGGTACAACCTAGCACTGGTGTCCAGGATCCGTCCCGCTGCCCCTGCGTGCGGCTGGAGCATGCGTTGGCACCAAAACCACCTTGTTGGTATTGGCACGAAGACGACTTGCGCTCATGGAGCGTGCGGGCGCGCCCGGGCAGGGCTGTGCCCGGCTCTGAGGGATAACCGAAGCGGGAGGTCTCCAGCAGAGCCAGGGACTGGGCAGTGGCTAGTGAACGGGTCCTTGCTGCGTGCCCTGCCTTCAGCAGGCCTTCCCCAGGGGCCTGGCTGTGTCACCAGGCCTTGCTGTGTCACGCTTACCGCGCTCCCGGCCTCTCCGTGCCCTGGGACTTTTTTTTAGGAACAAAGCACCTCTGATGCTCTCTGCCAGGGACAAATCAGCAGCTCCCTTCTTCCCAGGGCAGGAGCACGGTGGTCCACCCTTCGATTCAGGCAGGGAGGGCGGGTGCTGGGCTACCAGGGGCAGCCTGGGTTGCCCGGGCTCTCCAGAGCTCTCCTGTGTCCCCCAAGCCCGTGTTTCTAGCCTCCCTCAGCCACGGCTCGTACCCCGCTGCAGGGAAAGGCTGCTCCAGGCCTCAGCCGCTGCGGAGAGGGTTGCAGCCTCTGCCTTGTGACAACACTGGTTTTTTTTCCTCGATTCTTTTTTGCAGATCGCACCAGAGGCGTATGAGCAACGTGGCTCTGCTGGGGCCAAGGAAACGGCCGCTAGGTTCCGTTTCTACACCCTGCAGCCAGACCACAACGTGGACCTGACCATGAAACTCACCCCCAAGGCCCACACCTTCTGCCAGTGGGCGGCAGACGATAAAGCCGCCTTCTGACAGTTCCTTCCCTCCTCTTCCACCCGAGCTTCTGCAGCAGGGAACTGGCCAAGGAGGTGAGCCACGCTGCCTTTCCACTAGTGAAAGGCTGACCCTGCTGGAGCCAGGAAGAGCTTTGGGCCACGCGTGCGCTCCAGGGCTCTCCTGCGACTTGGTGGAGACTGTTTAGACCAGCACAAGTAGAAAAAAGAGGCCAGGCTGCAGGCGGACAGGTGGGAGAAGCGCTGCCTTTGCACGCTGTCTTCAGGGAGGTGTTTGTTTAGCGAGTCTGGGTGTTTTCACGGCTGTAGGGTGGTGGCGGCGGCTTGTTTTTCCCAGGAAAACCCTAACCCTGGCAAAAGGGGACTGCGCAGTGACTGCCCGTGCTGCGTAACATGAAAGCTGAGCCTAATTCCTCAAGTCAGACAGCTCTCGGCTGTGGCCTGGCCTTTGGGCTCCCAGAGCTAATTTCAATCGCTGCCGCCATGAGCCGAGTGAAACCTTTGCGAGACTGTCCAACCTTTGGATTTAGGACTTAAAAAGCTCCTTTCCCCACACCACCGTATGCTTAAGGTAGCGCTGGGATAAGGGCAGTCTTTGCCTGTGCTTAAAGTCAATCGCAGCCACCAGGGAGATGCTCAGACCATCCAGCCCCATCTTCTCCTCGCCCGAGAGAAGACCTTCGATGCTGGGGGAGAAAAAGGGGGTGACAGACAAGGTTGGAAGAGCAGACAAGGCAGCAAGGCACAGCACGTGTTAAATACCTTTTTATCAAGTCAATCTTATTTACATGGATACAGAATCACTTTACAGACAGTTTAATCAGGAGGCAACGCGTGCTTTATTTCAGCAAATTAAGAAGGGCGAGACTACGACATGTCCTTGGTTAACTGGTCGATTAGCATGTGGGCAGATGGTGCCTGCACGGTATAACTAACAACGGCGGGCTACAGTAACCATGAAAATACTCACTGCAAGAGCTCGACTCCACCTGGAAGGAGCGATCCACTTCACTTGTATTCTCACACATGTAGGAACAATGACTCTTTGACCAATCATTGATGCTACGGGTGTTGCGTTAATGTAATAAAAAAAAAACTTTTGTCCCAATCTGGCAAAGGGCTTGGTGATAAACTCGTACCCATTCAGAAGCGGCAGCGTTTGTGTTGTAACTTTAGTTATCGGAGGGGGAAAGGGAAACCTGAGGCAAAGTGCAGATTCCATCACTGCTCTTTGTGCAGGAAATCAGCAGGACTAAGAAACCGGACAGCCGGGCTCTGGCGAGCCCCAGCCACAGGGAGACTTCCCCCTCGGAGACATGCAGGACAGCTCGGAGGGCTGTCATGAAGACAGGGTTCAAACTCCCTGACCCACCAAGTCTCCTAGGAGAAAAGCAGCAGTGACAAGTTCACCGAGCACATCTAGCATTCGGAAGGGCAGCGGAGTGAGCAGCAGCCATCTCGGCCTCCAGACAGCAAACTGCTCCACTCCGTGCTGGAAGGACAAGTTTTATTTCACATTTCCACTGTTTTGGATTCTAAATAATATTTCAACTTTAATTTTTACCAAATAAGCTTCCAGCAGCAGCAGGGACTGTGGAGCAACCTCGAGAGCGCGCCACATTTCTGCAAAGCTGCCGTTTCCCTTCATTACCATTTCCTAGGACGGCGGGTGGGTTTTCTGTCTTGATGATTGTTGGTGCCTCAGTGGTTTGTAGCCCCTCCAGCTGGGATTCTCCCTGTGCTGCTGACCGACATCCTTCACTCTCCAGAGCCCGCTGCCAGAAAGATTCATCCCCGACTGCAAAGATGATCTGCTGCTGCTGGCTCTTAGTTTCCAGTAGAACGCTTCCCTGCAGTTGAAGCAAGAGAAAAATTCAGCGTTTCCTAACCAAATCGGCCTAAGGCAGCAGCCCTGCTTTGCTTCCCGCCTGACCTGCCATCACGCTTTGTCAGCCACGCGGGACAGAGACAAGTTTGAAGCCTGGGGGAAGCTGAGCCCCTGGAATCCAAGACGCCGGTGTCTGCCATAGATGATTTCAAGTCTGCAGTGCTCCCTCGCAGCCGGCCAACACCAACTAAATGGCACCCTGAGCTATAACGCTGTACTCGTTTGTGTGGCAGGGGCTTTGCTGTGCTTTACAACAAAGATCGATTCCTTCCTGGTGCCGTAAGCCCACGGTAGGGGCGAGTCCAGCCTGACCATACCGGCACCGGAGGCTCTGCAGGCCCACCTGCACCTCCCGGCAAGCCCGGGCTTTGCGGTGGTCGCAGAACTGCCCGGTCCCGGCTTTACCAGCTAATGGGAACACCCTGGGTGCTTTGAATCGGGTACAGCCACCGAGTGGACAAGGAAGCAGAGCTGCAGGGGAGGCCAGCAACCTCCCTGAAGACATACTCGGCCTTTTTGCTGCAGCGACAATGCAGTTTAGTCCCTGGCTTTTTGCTCCAGGTCACAGGGGACAGCTAGGGCTTTTCACACCAGTGGCTGGAAGGCCTGAGGCTAAGTGAGAAGCAGTGCTGTGCTTTTGCTGCTTCTACCTCCCAAGAAGCGCAAGTTCTGCTTAGTGCGGAGGAAAGACGACAAGAAAACACAAGAGGCCTCCTACCTCGGATGGGGTGTCAGGAACTAAACATTTTCTTAAGTTTGGAAAGGAATCCCTCCTTGTTCTCCTCAGCCTCAGGCCTATCCCCGCCTGCGTCAGCGCTAGCCGTGGCCCTGCCACCTGGACACAAACAGCAAAGGGCTGCAGTCAGATAGATCTCCCACCAGTAGCCAGCACCCCTGACAAAGTGAGAGGGTTATTTTAGATGGGGAATGGTCAAATCAAGGCAGCTGGTTTTGCCTGCATCCTCACATACAGGGCTGCGCCCAGCAGCGAGCCACAGTGCTGGACCACTTGCAGTGAAAGCACTGGAAAGCCCAGACCCCAGAAGTGGAAAAGACGACCATGAGCCCAAGTAACGCCATTCCCTTCCCCTCTCCCCAGCCCTCTGAGCAGCGAGGGAACTCTCATGCTGCAGAATCAAGTCAGGGACCCCACAGGCTTTGGGAACAAGCGCCTGGAATTGTGAATCTGCCACTAAAACCAAGTTGTCAACTTGACCACCGCCAGCCGTGACTTTACAGAAACAAAAAAAAGCGATATTGGTGGTTCCTGGAACAGTCTGTCTTCCTGTTTCATGGTCGTGTCGTGACGCTTTAGAGCAAAGCAGTGCGAAACCATACCAGGAGCCTGCCCCAAGTAATCCTCATGCAATGCTCAGACAAACAGCATCAAGGAGAAAATGAACTCAGGCTAGAATGAAAAAGGCTACAAGTATTTCAGAACAAGTGTCCAAATAAGGAATCTTTCTGGCAGCAAGGAGCGTAATTTTCCTATATAAACAGGTCCTGAGAAGTTGTTTGTCTCTGAGAAGTGGCTACAGCAAGAACAAAGGGGACCCCTTTGCTAATCTGCTTTTTCTACAGTAAAACCGTCGATAACGAGACCCCCGAATCCTCCTCGAGCTTTCTTTGCACACAGAGAACACAAAGTCCGGTCCTCCCTGTCCTCCCACAGCTGATTGCCGAGCTCAGACTGATGCAATGGTGTGAAATCCTGAGGCCTGCGGCAGAACACGCCTCCATCCACTCGGGGTATTTCTGCTTCCCAGAGCAAGCACACGCTTTCAGCAACAGCCCGTCTCTACTCCGCAAGCTACTGGCGTTGTTTTTAATCCACCTTGCTGCTTAATTGTGCTAAAAACTTGCTTTTTTATAAATTAAGTTTGGGAGCATTTTTCTCCTTTGGCACATAAACTTCTTTAAAAAGCTGGAATGAAAGTTTTGTGCTCAGAGATCTCTCCCCTTCCCCTCAAGGCTGACCTTTAATGCTTACCCTCAGTGGAAAAGACATAATTTCTGTGTTATGAAAGCACTTATACAACATAACATCAGTATTTGGCGGACACTGCCTTCCGATATCCTGAACTTCAGCCTATATTCCTCGGGCTTTGGCACGTGTAGTAGCGAGGACCCGAGTTCCTGGGATCGTTTAGCAGCTTTGAAAGAATCTCACCTTTGCCTAGCTGTATGCAGTCATAAAGGCCCTTTTTTGTTTCAAACATAGAAAGAAATCACAATCCAACCAGATTTAAGTTCATCGTTCCAATACAAGCAAAGAAAAAATTGTTTCCCAACAGCACCAGACAAAGCTCTTGCCTTACTGTGCTACCATATGGTTTTTTTCTGTAGCTGCTATTCCTGCCAGGTACCTCACCGCTGAAACTTAAAACACAGAATTGCTGGATCAGAATTGTTAACCTGGAGCTGAAAGAGCAGCTTTACAAAGCTCCCAGCTGGCTTCCCTCCCTCCATCACGCTGGACGCCGTCTACTGAACGGAGCCACCGCTCGGCACCAGTGAACGTTTCTATCCAAGATTCCCCCGCGTGCGCAGAATACGGCTTAGAGCGACCTTGACAGCGGTACTCCCCTTCAGCTTTCAAGGAGAAACGTCCCCGCTGCGGTCAGAAGCACAAGAGATTAACCCACACAGAAAACTGGCCTGAAGCACATTCTCTTTTTTCTACCCCTGCCACTAAGACAAGTTACTTCTGGTACAGGGGCAGAAGCGGGGAGGGGAAGGCTTTCATCACCACAGCGAGCTCACCACAGCTTGTCAGGACCCTGCAGCATCTCAATACCTGCTCTCTGTTCATGCACGGATGTGCCCAGTCAGTATTACAGAGCAAAGCTTTCTGGGAAGAGGCTACCTCCTTGCTTTGTGCTACAGCCTATTAACATCACACTACAACTATTTCCGACACAACGTGCTTGGCAGGTTGCGCTGAGGCGCTGTCTCAAGGTGACCTTGGCTCGCCTTCCTCCCCAGGAACCCTGAGGAAGCACTCCGCACTCCCACGCCAGCTCCGTGAGGAAGAAGCGCCAATTCCCACCGCTCACCTGATGCTGTATTCGTGACTCCGTTCACCGTGCCGTCCACATCTGCCTCGTCCTCGGCATAGCTCATCATTAAGG